AAATTTTTTAAAAACAAATTTTTTCCGTACTTCTTTACTCAGCAATGAGTTTCCAAAATAAGAGTGTTTGAATCCTCGTTATTATTATAAGTCGTAAGAATTCCGAAACCACGTCACAACGCTTATAAATTGCCCGAGTTTCGAATCCTTCTGCGCTACTGTTATATCACTCTTCATGGCACTTATATTATAAGTAATGCTTCGGCAACTTGCCGTGAGACCTGTATTACTTATTCTGAGGACTGACTCCAAATGGCTTCTTCTCCTTACCTCTGACCTGGAACTCTTTATTCATAGTTATGGACTAGTTCCTATACTCACCGGGGGTGTAATATTTACTTCACAACAGAAGGAGAAATAGAAATTGTAGAAAGAAAGAAACAAAGAGAGAAATATAAAAAGAAATGCAAATAGAAATTGTATAAAATGATTAAGAAAGAAAGAAAGAAATGTGTTGTGAACCTACAGGACGTTAATGATCATGGCTCACCACAATTTCCTGTCCTTCTTCTTCTTCTTCTTCTTCTTCTTTGTGTCATGTCTCTACAGAACTTCGGCGATCATTGCTCTCCGCAATTTCCTGTCTTTCTTCTTCTTTGTGTCATGTCTCTACAGGACGTCGGCGATCATTGCTCTCCACAATTTCCTGTTCTTTTTCGCGCTTATTAAATTTCCTCATATTGTTATCTTTTCTAAACCTTGTTCCGCCATCCATTTACACAAGCTCAGTCTTCTATGTGCAGTGTCTCTGCAGGACGTTGAGGGTCAAGGCTCTCCACAATTTCTCGCCTTTTATAGCTTTTAATAAATGTTGTCTTTTTGTTATCTCCCTTAAATTTTGTTCCGCCAGCCATCTACACAAGCTCATTCTTCTAGGTGCCATGTGTCTGCAGGGCGTTGATGATCAAGGCTCTCCACAATTTCTCGGCCTTTATAATTTTTAATAAATTACGAGATATCTGTCCTTCTGTATGGCAATGGGTGCTGGACGATCTCTTCAAAGATGAAGATTAGACGTGATGCAACAGATATGCTGTTCTACAGAAGGATGCTGAAGTTACCATAGGCAAAACATGTGAGCAACCATAAAGTTTTGGAGAAAATGGAAACAAAAAAGGAAACTAACCAGGAAGAGAGCTGCGGTTTTCTGGGGCACATAATGATGAAGGCGGTCTTGGAAAACTTGATGCTCACGGGACAGATAGAGGACAAGTGCGACAGAGGAAAACAATACATAACTTACTGTTATAAAATAAAATAAGACATATCTCGGCTGATTTACAGGCAAATAAACTAACATACTCAAGAGCGAGAGCCGGATGTGAACGGGACAAGGCCCCGTCACAAAATGACCATTATCTTAGTTTACACATGTTCCCGACGCACGAGTTCCGGTCGAAAAATAAAATAATATTTTAAAGTGTTTCTATTTTTCGACCAATAAAAATGCTTCCCTCCTAATTATACTCGCGTCGTTTTACGAGCCTGTCAAGCCATAAAAAAACGCCATAAAAGGGGTCACAAGGGCAGTCAACAGGAGGCCAGTCGTTCAAGTCTTGACCGGCTGATCGGTTGAACTGTCTGCCTTCGAGCGAGAAGGGCCCCGAAAGGGGCTACGCCGAAGGGCGGGTTCTCTTTCGGAGAGGTAAACCGACCCTGAACCCGTTTATACGGGTTCAATGGGCATATTTTTGGCCGAGCCCACGGGCTCGGAGATCCCACGTTAAACCGGTCTTGTGCCACATGACGCCCTCGTTGACTTAATATCGTCAACAGGAGGCCAGGGAAGAGACCTGTTACGGTCAGGCTGAGCGGTCAGCAGCAGCCAGCAGCAGTAGCGCCACGCCAACCAGCGAGAACTACTATGAGAGATCAACCCAGATCTTCAGCCGGCTTATGAACTATATCACAAGGTAGCTGTCCCAAAACCACAGTTTCCTATTGAAATAAATCACGTAAATCTATTTCTACTGTTGTCGTATTTCTTTCTTGCAACCATACGCTTGTCTATAACATTACTAAGTGAGTTTGAGTAAAGGGATGGCAGAACAGGGTTTAAGAGAAGCGCTATTGCAAAACTATGTCAAAGACTTCATGTGAGCTATGGTAGTACCTGCAATTCAGCGCAGAAACCTGGTTACCCAAAGATCTGTTATATGTCTCTTTCCCGAATTTTGACAGACGCCATGAAGAAGCCGAAGATGGTTACTGCCCGAATACATATGAAGCTGAACAATGCCAAAAACATTCAGAGGACAGTCATTCTACAGTGATCTCACACATATCAAAAAAGAAAACAAAGTAGTCAAGGCGAAATAAGTATACATTACTTACTTAAAATATCGAACGAGTGAAAAGAAGGAGTCTATGTTTATAACTGGATTTGGAATGCTAAGAGGATTGTGTTTATTTTGTTATGCTTCTTAGGCTCCTGCAATTAAATCTGTTATATTTTTTTCAAAAAGCAGACATTACTTAATCATCGAATTTGTCTACACTGAGATTTTAAATCCTGATACAATTTTATTCATTTTGTTATGCTTTGCTTTATTAGAACATTAAATATATTGTCTATATATAAAATATTGTGACTTTTATTAGTCAGTCAGTCTGTCACACCTACTAAAATAGCCATACATTGACGGATCGAAACCAAATTTTGAGATGTGCAAACAGGTAAGGGGGTACAAAAAACAATTAGTTCGTAGAATACATTTTCATTATTGTTTTTTTTTTTGTAAAAATTAAAAATTTTATTGTTTAATATAAAGAAGACTCCCATTATTTTAAAAACAATTCAACGATTACAATAACTAATACTTATTTAATAAAAATGGAATATTGTTTTTTGAATATCTTTTCTGTTAGTTTATATATGTATATATTGGAATCCAGTTTCCAGTTCACACTGCGTTTGCGAGAACTATAAACAAATCCCAAGGCTAAACACTTCAAAATTTGGAATTTAGCTCCAAAAGAAATATTTGCTCATGGCCAATTGTATGTTGCATGCTCAAGAGTAAGAAATGCTAAGAATTTATTATCTGCTGCTGAAAAGGGTAAAGTAATAAAAGAAACTTTCTTATTGTTTAAAATTAAATTAGATTAAAGAAATTATTAAACCGCAAACTAGGGTTTTTGTCAAAGTATTTCCCAAACAAATCAGCTTATTTAAATTTCATCGATTGGTTTGCGAAATTGAACGGGACGTAGAGTTTGTATATCTCGACAAAAATATTAGTGATCACTTACTAAATACTAAATACTATGAGGATTTAAACATGCGTCAACGTGTTGCCAAAAAATACTAGTAATTAAAAATATTATATCGTCTGTATATATATTTACTAGTGATCCCAGAATGTTCGTTAATAGGACAATAAGTAAAAATTATCCTTACTTGCACCATAACATACCTTTTGGTTTGTTACATTGCCTCCAACTCGCGCGTGCGCATAGTTAGTGCAATTGTAGTCCCGTAGTCGAAGTTTCAGCTTGATCGCACTGGTTTTCCTGCTACTGCTCTCTAGCAGTGTGCATCAAAGAGCAGTGATCCGATTTCTCTGGTGGAAAGATGCGCCAGTTGGTGAAATTCATCAGAGGCTTTTACCACAACAGTGCACTACCGAGTAGAAATGTGTATGAGGGTGTCGAAAAGTGTCGGACAAGCGTGACGCACGAAGAAGAAGGGCGCTCGTCAATTCTAACCACTGACGAGAAGATTTGAGAAGCTCGAGATTTGCTAATGGCGAATTAGCGATGAGATATCATGTAATCTCCACGTTCGGATCACTGCTCCTTGTTCCTCTTTGGTGCACACCGCGAGCGGAGCAGCCATGTGTACACTGTAACAGCAGTAAGAAAACTGTCACGATCAAGTGCAAACGTTTATCACGTGACCACAATAGTATAAACTATAAGCACACATTAGAAGAAGGCAGCGTGACAAAGCTAAAGGTATGTTATGGTGAACATGCGGATAATGTTTTACTTATCCTCGTATATAGCAGAAAAAGGTTAGGGCTGAGGTGAGTCATGACGAGCTGCATGATCTCACGGGCATAATAGGACTGGCCATTAACAACGGCCTTCATGGGCATACCCGATAGGAAGGACTTGATAATCGAGAAACCTCTCTCAAGAATTCCATAGGTGGGAAAATTGTGTAGCAACCCACTATGCTGCACGTTGTCAAAGAACTCCGAGATATCTAAGGCGATCGCTCTCGGGATGGAATTAATATCATGCGCTTCACTGATTCTGTGCGTAATGAAATTTAAGACATCAGCAGTGGCTCTAGAAGAGCAAAATCTATACTGTTTGTCGGTCAGGGGGTGGTTTCTGTTAATGTGATTGATAAGCATCTTGTTGGACTCAAAATGTTTTTTGGTGGCACTGAGGGGGCTGATGCGATATTGCGACGAAGATGAGCGATCATCTGAATTCTTGTAAACTTGGTATACAACTGACATTTTCTGTAAACCTGGGAAAACATTTCTCTTTCAGACAGCAGTTAAACAGCTTTGCCAAGATGGTGGATTACTGTTTTGTACTTTTTTTATTACCAAGGTCGATCATTACTTTTGGGCCGACAATTGTATGTTGCATGCTCAAGAGTAAGAAATCATAAGAAAAAGTGCCTCAATTAAGAAAGAAAGAGATTATGTTGAGAACGAGATTTGAAGTTTTGAAACACCCGTATTAATTTTTTTATGCACTGAATGATTTTATTATTACATCTGTTATACGTATGGAAGAACAGGCAATACCGTTTGAGTGACACTTGTACCTAAATTGAGAAAGAGGTGATTAAGTTGGTAACATAATCAAGTGCATGTGCTCCTTTGTACAAGATAATATTTGACAATGAATATTGTTTTTTGTACTAACACACCCGTAGACTGATCACCAGTACAAAACCTGTCACGGGAAAATATAGGTAAGTATAAAAAGAAGATAAGTACGTAAATATAAAAAAATACTTTTTTTTTTGCGCTCACGGGAGGACAACGAAGAAGAGATGAAGAAAAAACAAGAGAAAAAAGACAAGGGGAAAGAAAATATTTAGGTTCAAACAATGAAAAAGATTTTAGATAAATTTGAAAAACCGAACTCGATCTAAAATATTAATGCTATATAGATTTTACACATAAACGAATGTACTAACATACTCTTTTACACTAAGTTCACGTGCCGACTGGAATAGTCGAGAGGAATTGTTTTTTTGTTTTTTTTTTGTGTGTGTGTGTGTTTTTGTTTTGTTTTTTTGTTTTTTTTGTATTTTTATTTTTTTTTTTTTTTTTGTTTCGTTTGGTTTTAGTCATAAAGTGCGCCAAATCAAATAAAATTTCTGGCAGAAATTTTTATATATGTTTAATAAACGGGAACGATATATTCGTGCCACCGAGAAAATCATCATCATCATCATCATAAAAAGAAAGAAAGAAAGAAAGAAAGAAAGAAAGAAAGAAAGAAAGAAACCGAGATAGATGGCGACATAGATAGATAGAAAGAAAGAAAGAAAGAAAGAAAGAAAGAAAGAAAGAAAGAAGCCGAGATAGATGCCGACATAGATAGATAGATAGATAGATAGATAGATAGAAAGAAAGAAAGAAAGAAAGAAAGAAAGAAAGAAAGAAACCGAGATAGATAGATACCGACATACTTAGATAGATAGATAGATAGAGAGAGAAAAGTAGATATACAGAAAGAGAGAGAGAGATAGCGAGAGATAGATATGTGTGATGATATTTATTTATTATCGGAACGTTCGTCTATTTTGTCCTCCGGTCTTTATCAGGTGCTTGTCTATCCAAGTAACCTTCAGGTAATTTCGAACTTAACACATGTTTTATTTAAATGCTTCACTTGTTTCCAAGCCTCAATCTGCACTAATTGACCCAAGGACTATAAGTCAGCATTTTCCCAAGTGACAAAAGCTTGTTGTTGATTCGTGTATTTGCTCATATAGTAATTGTGAGTTTAGCCACCTGGTTGGGCACTACAGTATTACACTCAATGGAAACATGGCGAGCAATGAGTTAACAATACTAAAAAAAAAAAAAAAAAGACGTTATATTTCTATACATGGCCAGTGGGAGCAGAACAATCTACACCCGTAGATTAAACAGATTTCATTTCGAACTTCCTCTGTGGTTACCTGGATCAACAAACACACGATGAACGTCGAAGAGCACCCGGGGTGAAATATTGTGATGATAATAGTAAAAAGGGTGAAAACATTAGTTCGAATGTAATGTAAGTCTATCTTATCAAGTAACTATCTCGGCATTTCGATCTGAACTTTTTATCTAGTCCACGGTCGATCATGGTTTCATTCAACTAAGGGCGATAACTCGTATAGATAGATAGATATAAACAAACTGGCCCAGATAGATAGATAAATATAGAGAGAGAGGCAGACTGACAGAGACAGAGACAGACAGAGACAGAGAGACAGAGTTTGGCATTTCGATCTGATTCTTTCTTCAACTATTCATGCTAATCGCGATAACTCGTATAAATAGACAGATATAAACTGGCATAGATAGATAGATAGATAGATAGATAGATAGATAAAGAGACAGACAGATTAATATAGAAAGAATGAGATCTTGGCTTTTCGAGCTGATTGTTTCTTCAACGATTTATGCTAAACGCGATAACTCGTATAAATAGATAGATATAAACAAACTGAGATAGATAGATAGATAGATAGATAGATAGATCTTGACATTTCGATTGTTTTATTCAACTAAGGGCGATAACTAAGGTCGATAGATATAAACAAACTGGCATAGATAGATAGATAGATAGATAGATAGATAGATAGATAGATCTATGTATTTCGGTCTGAACCCCTTATCTAGTTGACGGTTGCTGATTGTTTCAGTCAACTTTTCACGCTCAGGGCGATAACATGTATCAGCGCGGCGGGAAATTGACCTATTTGACAATGTTAGTAATATATTGGCTGTTTTTGAAGACACTCGAAACATGCAATTACTATTATATCTGATCTGCTACAGCTTAGAATCCCTAATAATCTACACAGCTTAAGCCAGCAATTTAATCCACAGGGTTATTGTCCTTTGGGACAATCTTGAGTTTAAACCTGAATGAAAACACAGCGAGCAATTAACTGAAAACATCCGAACAGCGAAACACTTGAAAACCGCTTAGGACAATACTTACTTCAGAAAATCTGTAAGAACATTAGAAAATCTGCCAAAAATAAATTCTGATATTTTACTTATCAGTCAGATTTTTTAATCATTTCACCCCAAGCAAGGTGATAATGCTACTATGATGCCAGTGGCGGCTGGGAGTGAAAGAGAATGTGACAACTTTAGAAGGAAATGGAAGCCTAATTCTAAACAATAAACAAGTGATAAACCTCTACTCTTGTTCAAAATACTGTGGAGATGTGTGAACCGAATGATATACGTACCTATATACTCCTGTTAAATTCTATGACACGTGTATAAAAGAAATGTTGCCCAATACAACAAACAGCTGAAAATGACAGGAGGATAAAATGACACAGAATTGTATCAGTAGGAAACATGACACTAATTGGAATGAATTATTTTTTTATTGGGATAAATGCTATATTTAGTGGACAATATATATGTTATTATATATGTAATAAATGCTAATGTCAGTGTGTCACACTTTTTCAACTTTATCCCCTAGAGGCCGTAGTCCAGCTTATCATACCATTTAAGAATCAGACCGACTCCGTGGTCAAATTAAAAACATTCCGGGTCGGATCCAAACCCCACAATCCTGAAATTTTTGGATTCCCAAGTTTTCATTACTGAGATTATTTACGACGATTTTTTTTTTTTTTTTGTACGATAACAATTTTTATAACTTGGAAATAAATTTAGGAATAGTCGAAATTAATTGCGAAATCCAGCGAAAGTCACCCATGAAATAAAAATAATTGTTCGTATGGAGAGTATATGAAATTGTCTATAAATTAAGAAGAATTATCGTTGAACTGTTACAAGGTAAATTTGAAGGATAGGAGAAGCTGGTAAAAAATGCATGAAATGTGGGACAACATTTAGTTGGAGTAGAATCTGATGAAACTAATATTGAATTGCATACTAACAAGAGAGATTTTGTTAAAAGGTTAGCTTAAATATTAATACAATACTTAAATGAAACGATCAATTCTGTGTTCATCTGTAGTTTATTGTCGTCTATCGAATCTACTCCTCCCTACCTATTGTGATGAAGGCCCAATCAAAGGCCATCCACAGGAGCTAGCTTAAATGTCGTCCGATAGGTCGACTTTTGGGTTAGTATATAATATAAATAACATATTTATAGTAACATTTCATCACTGCCGAGCCGACACTAACTTTGCCTTAAATCTGATGAATGGTCATCTCCTCAAAGCGGCTCCATACCTCGAATACCATCTGGGGTTAAATCTTACTACCAATCTTAAATGGAATGTGTATATTCTTACCATTGTAAAAGATGCTGAAAGAATGGTCGTTTCATTGTATCACATCAGAAACCTCTACTGCTATGCTCTATCTTTATAAGAATCAAATCACCTGACTGGAGAAAAGGAATAGTCACGGGGATTTGAGCCTAATTTTGGATTTATAACCTATCTAGTATAAACGAATAATACTACGAATGTTCAAATGATATTTTCCCTGATCGTTATTATATAATTATATGGCAGAGAACATGGTACCGGTACCCGGGTACATTGTGAAGACTTATTATACAACAATGATGAATGACTTTAGAATGAATATGACATCATGTCCTCAGATTTAGTAGTCTCAAAATGACCCGGAAATAAGACATATTTAAAAAATATTAAAAAATTAATAAAATTGGGAGAAGCACAGATCTTGGAAATGTCCGCGAATTTGATCCAGAGAAATATACAGTGCTGTTCGATAAAAGTGACTTACCTGATTTTTTTTTTTTACTAAATGTTCTCTTCTCCGATGAAACGAAAGTTGAGCTAAATTCAAAGGATAAGCGATCTAAAATCCGAAGAAGCTTTGAAAGCTCTTTGAATTTAGCAGGAAGTAATGCCAAGCATCAGTTCAGTATAACGTTCTGGGAATGCTTTTCTTTTCATGGAACTGGTTTCTTAAAACCTATTGAAAAGACCCTCAGGAGCGAGCAGTACAAGATAATTTTATAGCCTTGTCTGAAAGGGTGCAAATCGACCCCAACAAGCTCATTTTTATACAGGATAATGCTCCCTGTCACAAATCAAAATTGATGAAGGAATACTTTGATGAGAAGCAGGTGAGTGTTATGACATGGCCGCCCCAATCTCCTGACCTCAACCCAATAGAAAACTTATGGAGCATTATAAAGTACAGGCTCTCGAAAAGCAGTTGAGCAACAAAGAGGATTTGATTGTGAATTTCATATCCGAATGGAATTCAATGCTTGGAGATGAGATTTGCCAGAACCTAATCAAGTCAATGCCAAAAGGGTTGAAAAGGTTATTCAAAATAAGGAGGACCCATAGATTATTAAATATTTCGAACTATATTACCTATTATAAATAAATTATACCTCTATTATTCTTTACTTAAAGCTGTTCGGTTATGTTTCTATTGATTACTAGTTGCAGGAAATAAGCGAGTCACTTTTTTGCATAGAGTTTTTCCCTAAATATCATTTATATCCCAAATTATAATTATCATTAGAATACCTTAGTATTTTAAGTAAAAAAATCAGTTGAGTCACTTTTATCGAACGGCTCTGTAGCTACTAAACTTTGAATATCAAGACGTGCAGTTTCTCAAGTTCTTTCGAAGTTTCGAGGAACTAGAGATGTATCAGGTCGTTCAAGATCTTGTCGCCCTCGAGGGTTACAACAAAGGAAAATCCATAAACAGATTAGAACATTAAAAAAAATCAACGAAAAATTACTGCAAAATAACTGAGGGATGAATGTAACATATCCAGTTTGATGTCGGTAGTCACCGTTAAACGCATTCTTCCAGGAAGATCATTGGTGGTGGGATCGGTGAATTTGAGGTTCAGGTTAGACTGAGGAAAAATGCATGAAATGTGGGACAATATTTAATTGTAGCAGAATCGTATTTAGCGATAAAACTAAAATTAAAACTGCTTTCTAACAAAAGAGAATTTATTAGAATACCAAAAGGAAAAATAAATGACCGTGTATAAGATTTGGCCACTTTGGATAAGTTAGAAGAGACTCTGTAACTAGAATCTTAGACCACTTTTCACAAATTAGAAGCTGCTCTGAAGTCAGTCTTAAGCCACTTTGCATCAGTTAGAAGCCACTCTGAGGCCAGAGTCTTGGGCCACTTTGCATCAGTTAGAAGCCACTCTGAGGCCAGAGTCTTAGTCCACTTTGCATCAGTTAGAAGCCACTCTGAGCCAGATTCTTAAGCTATTTTTCATAACTTAGAAATCCCTCTGAGGCCAGAGTCTTAGGCCACTTTGCATAAGTTAGAAACCACTCTGAAGCCACAGTCTTAGTCCACTTTGCATCGGTTAGAAGCTAATCTGAGGCCAGAGTCTTAATCCATTTCGGATCAGTTAGAAGCCACTCTGAGACCAGAGTCTTAGGCCACTTTGCAAATTGAGGCCAGAGTATAATATTTTGGATATATATAAAAAAATTATTAATCTAGAAAGTTAAACGGAAACTATATAAAATACTGTGAAAATTCAAAGACGTTCTTAAATTATAATAAATATTTAATGAATTGTAATGAATGTTTTGTACCCCATATTTAACCGATGATACGTTGACACCGCGAATGCCATTTAAATAGTTAATCGTCATAGTGTGTTATGCGGTTAAGAATTTTAGGGCCAAAATATTCGCTAACCTACAAATTATTAAATGTATTTAACAATTGAAATCCTGGCTAAAATCAGAAATGAAACTCGGCTAAAGATCGTGGAAATGTCCATGAATATAAGCCAGAGAAACAATTCCACAAAAGATAATTTATTAAAGCATTTATCATAGTTTAGGTTGACATTTCACTTTTCCGGGATACTTTATTTTGGAAAGGTAAAGAAGAATTGTGTTGCACTATGGGATGGAGATGTATCAGGTCAGTCAATATGTGGTCGGCCTCGAAGGTTAAAACAAAGGACAGTCCGTAAACATAAAATAAAACAATAAAAAATAACTACAAAATAACTGAGGGTTGAATGTAACATATCCAATTTGATGTCGCTATTCAGCATTAAACGCATTCTTCCAGAAAATTCATTGGTGATGGGTTTCGTTGAATTTGAAGGGCAACTGAAACTGGTAAAAAAATGCATGAAATGTGGGACAATATTTAATTGGAGTAGAATCTGATGAAACTAATATTGAATTGCATACTAACAAGAGAGATTTTATTAGATCGAAGTGAAAAATAAATCCCCACCCACTATAATACGAAAACACTAACGTTTGAAAGCCATATTATAGTGCTTTGGTGATATATAAAAAACATAAATGATGGATCTAAAGATTTGATAAAAATAGGCGAGAACTATATAGAATACCGTGAAAATGTCTAATAAATTGTAAATTAATGTTTTGTACACCATTTTTTACAGATTATACGTCGATTCTGCGTCATAGTGTATTGCTGGAGTTTAGAATTTGAGGACAAAATATTCGCTAACCTACAAAAATGGCCGTGTAGAAATCTTTACCTAAGAGAAAAACAAAGGAGAATATATATATATATATATATATATATATATATATATATATATATATATATATATATATATAATCTAATATATAAACACGTCTATTTTCTAATGTGTGTATAAACTGATGTAAAAGACGCGTATGATTTCTCAGCAGGAAAAAAAGAGAAAAATGGTGAGCTATCAAGCAGTAACATACGACCACGCTCTCGCATATATGCAACAAGTATGTGTTTATACTGATAGAAAAAAAG